AAATAATAAAAACGAGTAATAATAATTGATGAAAAGAATAATAATTCTTTGCTTCCACCCTTTCTCTTATTTTCTTAAATTAATCAAAAAGAAAATGAAATTTATTTTTATTTATTTTTTAAAAGTTTGCTTTGGCTATCTTTTCTTATATTTTTGAAGAAAAGAAAAAGTAAATATTTCCTTCTTATTTTTCACTGTTTCTTTAACAAATAAATACAAAATAATGTGGCAGTATTTAAAATCGATTTATTTTTATCAGTCAGTTAAGCAATAGCTGCTTTAAAATATAATTAAAAAAAGATTTTATTCGATCCGACAGATGAGATAGTAGTATTTATTGTTTTGAAATAGCAAAACATTTCATCCCATCCATTTTAATGATAGTTTAGTATAAATAAAGGTATCATTCAGGTGGTTAAGAAAAACACCATAAATTATTTTTTCTTTCCTCTCTCTTATATCACTCAAAATTTGCCTATATCTGTTGAATTTTCCAATCATAAATATTAGCTATTGCTGGAAGTAAAATAAATTTGTTTTTTGTTTTTGAAATATTACAGAAAACATTTGAAATTTTTACAGCTCACATAAAAATTAAATTAAAAAATTTTTTCAAAACATAAATTTAACTTTACAAAACTTCAAATCTTAAAAAAATATTTTCAGTTAAATGAGCATTGTAATCATTTTCACTTCAAAGAGATAATGCTTTCTGGAAAATGATAAATGAGAAATGAATAGATAATGTCCAGTATAGTGATCTTTGATGGATACTATTCGGACAGCGTATCATCGTCATTTAGAATGAATAAAGAGTAGTGGCAAAAATTTTTGAAAATCTTCAGAAAATTTTTAATAACACTGATAATCATAAGAAGCTATTTATTTCTATATAAGATATGCATCAAACAATTGATTTTTTTTTATTAATAAATAAGAGATAATAATTAATTTAAGTGATTAACATTTGGCACTTAAATTAATTATTATCTCTTATTTATCAATATAAAATGAACAATTTAAGTGATTGATTTAAGTGATCATTAATCATTAATTTCTCTAAAATCTAATGATTTTTCTTATATGCGAGAAAAAATTATTAAATGCGAAGTATTATCGTTTATTCACTAAGGGATTTTGTGCAATAATTAAATGAAATAGATTAACTACCACCCAGATGTTATCTATTCCATTACAAAATAAGAATTAATTTCATTAAACTTATATTCATTACTATAATTTATAAATACATACAATTTAAAATTTGATACTATCAAATAGTACTATGGAGATAATTCGATTAAAGAAGTAATATAAGTTGAAATAAAATAACATTGAAATTGCTATTGAAATGATTTCAATTCGAAATTAGCGAAGGCAAAGATAGAAATTTTCCGCTCAAAAAAAGAATAATGCATTAGTATTACCGGTTAATGATACTCATTTGACAATTGGAATTTGAAGACTGATAATTGGAAACTAAAAACTATAAATGAGCAACAAATGAAACTTCGTGGAAACTCTAAAAAATGCAATGAATTTATCCAAATATTAGCAAAAATTGGAAAAAATTAAATTGATTAGAAGAAAAAAGCTCATGTAAATAGTGCAAAATTACAACATAACCGGAAAATAATGAATTATCAGGTAGGAGTTTTCCAGTTTTCCCACTCATCGTAGATAAAAACTTTATCAATAATGAATCAATGGGAAAGCATTAAAACTATTAAAACTGCTAAATGCTCAATCACCGCAGAATAAAAAATGATGCGGGGATGAATACAGGAAGGATGGAGGATGAAAATGGAAGAATGGAAAAATTTAACAATTGGTAATTTATTGAAATATAAAACAAAGTTTGATTAATAGTGAAATAAAGATCAGAAAACTTTTGAGCTAATTTTGTATTTCCCACTTGATAGAAAGTTGGAAAATTTAAATCTTCCAAAATTAAATTTCTTCTCCGAAATTATTTACTCTTAAGAATTTTAAAAACTCGCTCGTAACATTAAAATAACAAATTTCAAAGTTTTGAATAAATGCGATAAAAATTTAATACCATAAACCTGAAATTTGAGCAAATTGACACAACAAAACCTGAAATTCAGAAAAAATCTTTGCAAAATATTCAATTTAGGAATCGAACTTAAGAAAAAATGATCAACATGAGAAAAAAAGAAATAATTGAAAGGTAAGATACAACTATATTTTAAAGATAAGTATTTGTGGAATAAAATTATTCCCAGAAGCATTCATTTATCTCTGATATTTTCTTCTCCTTTCAGTACAGTATCCAATTAAAAGAATGAGATTAACTTGGAACATCATTTTTTAAATATTTTGAAAATAAAAATTTGAAAATTTCTAAGAACAAAAATTGCAGTAAATAGTAATGAATATTTTGATAGAAATACGATTAAAAGGATTTCCAATATTCAGTGTTTTATATTGAACCGATTTCTCTTGAATGAAGAAAAACTTTATCATTTCCGATTATTCATCTAAACAAATGATTCATTTACTATCAATATGATTAAAATTACTATCAATCGTCTAATTTTTTTTTTGGAAATATTTATTTAGCTTTAGAACAGGAAAAGCATAAATTTTCAACGGATACTGTAATTTTTTCGTGGTAAAAAGTAGAAATTTAAGCTTTTCGAATGATTTGAAAAATATAGAAAAAGTTGTTTGTTTACAAATAAAAATAATCGTATGTGATGGGAAAAAGAAAGGATAGAAAGAAAGATTAGAAGAATTCATTGAAATCATTTTAAAATCTTAAATTATTGATTTAAATAAAAGATTTCAATTATTATTTTCCACTCAAATTGAATGTGAAAGGAAGAATTGAAAAAAAAGTCGAAAAGAGAAGCAAACAATTCTAACTTCTGCTCCGATCGGCATATGATTCATCGTAAATTTCGCCAAATCTAAGCTAAATTTGTCCGTTTTCCATATTATTACTATTAATACTATTACTACTGCCTACAACATTATTGAAATAATTTGAATTTATATTTGAATATTTGAGTAAATAAATGACGAAATTTGAATTAGTCTATCGTCCAAATTTGCTATTGCTTGAAATATCAAACATTCGATGGCGCATTATTCTAATATATTTTGTATTTTAAAAAGTAATTTCAAAAAAATATATAAAAGTAAACAAGGGATCAATATGCAAATGAATTAGCCATACTTTACAATTTTTTAAAAATTATTTAAATAAATGATTGTTTGGTAGATGAGTTATTAGTAATAAATAAGATAATTACCAAAAGATCAAGTAAGTAATACTTAAACAAGTGAGAAAGTGATACATGATAGTTGACAGAAATCTACCAATTTTTTTTGAATTTGATTTACGAAGCATACATGGAAGAACAGATTGATTGAAATAATTAAAAATATGAAAACATATCGGAAATGATTCCTACTGACCAATAGATGGATTGAGGTTAACAAATTAAAAGACGGTTTACTTCTTTCGGTAGAGTGGTGATCTACCATATCCAATAAATACGATATATTTTCAAATGGATGGATGTAAATGCTCGATAACTTGGATATACCGATTTTATCAATTACAAATTTTAACCGATAAAAACTTATATGAAAAATTTAAGATTTGAAAAAAGAATGGACTGAATAATAGCGAATGGAATAATTTATTTTATTGATCGTTGAATAAACTTGCAGAAATTTTCATGAAATATTAAACAAACTTTGCAATTTCAAATTAAGTTTCATTTACTGCAAATTTGAAAAGTTTTGAAAAGTTATTTGAAAAGTTCGAAATTATTATTTTTGAAACTGCAAATCTTTTGGTTAATATTATTTGATAATGAATAGATAATTGCAAATAAATGATTCATCAAATTGTATTAGCCAAAAGATCCGCAATTTCAAAAATTATAACTTCGCACTCTAGTTTTTGAGCATTATAACACGAATCTTTTTCATATTGATAGTAACTGATAAAATCTTAGATCAATATTATTAGAAGGTGATCAAAAACCAGAAATGGTAGAACCCTCATAAATTGTATGTATTTTAAGCTTTTGTGATTGAAGAAGCTATTAGAACTTTGCTTCTTTTTAACACTTCCATCAAAATTTAATTTCAACTTAATCATGACTTGAATAAATTTAGAAAAAGAGAATAAATAGTTTAGCTAGTTTAATTATCATAAGTTTTTTCATTTCAAACTTTCATTTAATGTTAATAAAATAATTATTTCCAATTTTTAGTGAAAATTTTCTTCAATAACTTCCATAATAATACTAAATGAATTGAATTAAAATTGTAAGTAGGAAGATTCAATTCTACGCCGTATCACAGAAAAGATCGAAAATGCATTTATCATTCATTTTTTCTGTTTACAATATTTTCCAACAAATTTAACATAGCTTTATCAAGATTTGCTAACAAATAGGGTTCTTTTTTTGGAATTCAATGGCGGTATTGGTTTTCTTCTGAGGATTCAATGGCGCTATTGGTTTTCTTCTGAGGATTCAATGGCGCTATTGATTTTCTTTTGAGGATTCAATGGCGGTTGAATGAAGTTCGACCAGATTGGTTAACATTTAGCTTTACCTTTTTGTGTATATGTATTTGCTAAAAATGTTTAGAATAAGAAAAAAATATTGGCTAAAATTAAACAACAGCTGTTCCTGTTCCTTCTTCATTTCCGAAGAAAAATAGAAAAGAAAATGTAAAGCACTACTTTGTAACAACTAAATAAGCAAGTTGAACAGAAAAAATTAAAGTGAAATTTTAGAAATGATAAATGTATGTGAAGAAAATTGAGTAGGAAAGTAATACAAATAAATAGATGAAGAAGAGAAAAGGAGGATATTTGTTGATTGCAAGTTAATTTTCTTCTTTATAATCTACACTTCGTAGATCGTTGTTCTTATTTGCTTGCTGCTATTTCGAAAAATTGAAATTCTATCGAATATTTAAAATTTTTAAAATATCGATTATTCCTGTATAAAATGCCTCCATTATTACAACCGACGTATGCGGTAAGAAATTTTTGGTAATAACTTCAAAAAAAAACATAATCCTCATTTTGAATAATATCCTCATTCTGAAAAACATTCCTTCGTTCTTAATTTAATAATAATGTTTACCTAGGGTTAAAGGTTAATAGACATAGCTTAAACATTACTACACAATTATAAATTCGTGAAATAATTTTTTCTTTTCTTTCGTTTTTTACCTAATTTCTTATGTGTAAATTTTTGAAAGTTTTGATTTATTTTTGTTTTTTATAATTATCTGAATTTAAGATTCGGTTGTATCGTTCAAAATCGTTAGAAAAATTAGCAAACGACAAGAAATATTCAGCAAATTGGCCAAATGAAGAATTTAGAAATTGGAGTTTGGTTAGTGTTTTGCTTACGGGTCATCACGTGAAAAAACGTAAATTAAGCGGCGCAAATTAACTCAGTAAACTATGAAGCGAAAAATTTAAAAGCAATAATTTATAAATAAATATTGTTTGTATGGCAGAAGGGGAGTAAGATATTATCATTGATTGATTTGAAAATGGTATCTAACATTGATAAATATTCTTACAACATAAAATCTAGTTTTCATTTTTTGTTTCATTAAAAAGAGCAATGATTTGAAATCGTACGGATCATTGAATGAAATGAAAACAACGTTTATTGATTTAGCTTTTATTTGATTAGGCACGCAATTATTACTACTAATATTAATATTATTGTTATCGTAATTTTCTTTATCAATATTGCTGTAATTATTACTATTTATAGTAATATCAATTTTTTTGCACCTAGTCGGAAATAAACTTTGGTTTAGTTTTCCAAGTCTCACAAAACTTTTCGTTAAAAATAAGCCTTCAGCCAGAAAGATTCAGTATGTTCGTTGCAACACGCATTACTGATATGTTCAATTATAAAATCATATTATTTTTTTTCTGTATACATGAATATGGAAATCAATTCTGACATATTTTTGAAAGTAAAAACTAGTCTTCAGATTTGGATCAGCATATCTATATATATATATATATATAGCTACGATTAGTCTTATTCAGTGCTAATGTTATAACTATTATAAAGTTCATTTTTTTGCAGTATGATGATTACTGGTATGACTGTTATATGGGAACTTCACCACGTTCTCGAATTGATAAGGCACCATATAGCATGTGGAATTATCCGTACAGCTCTTGGTTAAGATATAAGAATCATCTGTAAGTAAATTAAGCTAAACAAAAACAAAATTCTTTGCAAAATGGAAATGAATGAATGATTGATAGATAGTATCAAGTGATGTGGAAATATCAACTACTCTATATGATAATTGGTAGTGACTAATGATAGTGATGCTGTTATATTCGTAAAAAAATCAGCTAACAATAAGAGTGATAAGTAGTATCGATAAGTTTATTAACTTTCAATTATTATCACCATTGTTCAATGGTAGAAAAACAAAAAAGTAGGAAAAAACAAAAAACGGAATTAATTTTCAGATATGATTTGCCATCTATTTATCCGTCATATTATAGTATGCATTATTATGGATATAATGATAACGCACGCTATTTGTATTATCGAAACTATTTCACTTATTATTCACCACTGAATCGTCAATGGCTTAAGAAAACCAATAAATATGGAAATTATTCATGAAGCAATATTCATATGATTATGTCAGAGTGAAACTGATCATCCATTAATTTCATTGATTTTATAATTCTAGAAAAAAGCTGAGATTAATTATCTGAAAATACCATAAAACTATTGTATATTATCTATTTTATCGTATAATACCATGAAATAATGAACAAACACGTCATCTTCGATTAATCAGATACTGTATTATGTAATTGATTTTCGAACGATTAAAATATTTCATTTCCTTCCTTTTTGTTGCATAATGTGTAATGCTTTCACAACAATTAGCATAAAGCTATACATCTTAAAGAGGTGAATTATTTCATGATTAATTCATAATAATAGCAGACATAACATGAGTTTATTAAAATCTAACATTAAATTATCTGTTAAGCCTTTTTCCCATTTCTCCTATCCCCGTTATAAATTTTGTTCATCATTTGCAGCCCTCTGATTGCCACTTTAGGAGTTTTAATTTGAGTAAATGCTGGATAAGAAAAAAGAGAAAAGGGCCTACAGATGGTTTAATTATAACATATTTATTGCTTACTCAAATCCAGGACACTGTGGATGATCAAAACCAGAAAATGCATCACAATTTGGTGTGATCCGATTTCATGTTTTCGATGGAGGTTATTCGTTTTCTTGCGGAGTCAACAAATCAATTAATTTTATAAAATTACGAAAGTTTTCAGATATAACTACCATTAACTTTACTATTATTAATATGGAAATGGTAAAGATTGCAGAACGCATCAATAAGTAGTGATATTTTATTTGCTTAAGCATACATACTCGTCGATTTAAAGCAAAATGATCAGACAAAAAAGAAAATTTCTCATATTTACAAAACTATCGCACAACGACATTTTTCAGAAATTTCAGAACCCACGCAAAAACACTACTATAGGCAAGACAGAAAAACTAAATTGAAGAATATGAGAATAAAGCAAATATATTATACATAGGTTCATCTTCCAAAAAAATCTGAGATGCAGCTAAAACATTCCATTTAGTGTATCTCACAATTAAGTTATTTGTGACATACAATAAATTTAATTATGGATTAAAAAAGAATGGATTAATTATGTCATTTTTCTGGAAGATGACAAAATGAAACAATCACAAAAATTACATCAATAATCAGATAAATTTATCCAATTACTCTGTCTCATTACTGAATAGGAACACAGAAATTGACTGGAAATGAAACTGGCTGAAAAAAAAATATATAGACTTCATAATTCCCCAATACATATAAATTAACTTTTACAGAGAAAGTTTAATATCGTAAGGATTAACTGTTTTGATTAACTAAAAGAAATTTCCTATATTTTGAAAACGTATATCACAATACAGAATAAAGAAAAATACAATTTCAGACCCATCTACAATATTCTTTATTGAATTATAATAACTTTCGTCAGTTACTATCATACCAGTTATCCCCAACTTTTTCGAAAAATTTCGGAAATAAATCCGAAAGAATATGGCCAAATGAATTGAAAAATATTTAATAACTTAAATCCATAACTATAACAATTGAGTAATGTGACTGCAAATGTTTCATCGCTTTCTACTTCCACACTTTGATAACACCATCCCGACCTGATGAAATCAAATACTCTCCACAGCATAAAAGATCGGTGATCGGACTTTTGTGACATACGGTCAACTGAAAAAAACGAAAAATATTTTAGTCAAAGTAAATAATATAGTATTTTTTATTAATATAGTAGATTGCTAGAAAGCAGAAGAGTTCCCGAAATAGGAATAAGTTATAAAGCAGTATTTCGAACAAAGTAAAGATGAAATCACTTTGGAGTAAAAAAGAAAAAAAAGTACAATTTCAAGTATCTTAATACTGAAATTTTGGATAAAAATCATGCCTGTACTTCAAGTGGATTTACAGCATAAAGCGGTTCAGCAGTCCTACCCGTAACCGTTTCACTCAAAACTTCTATTGTATCGATTACGGATTTACTGTAACGAATGGGAGCGAAATGCTCGGACGATAAAGAAACGGCTTCTGTGGTTCGTCGAAGTGATCCAGAAAGATAAAAACATTCGTTTGGATCCGATAAATTATACGATCGTATGGCACCCAAACTGTCACCTGTGAAAATACGACCTGTCAAGGGACAAGTGGCCAATGCTGATGTCACATGCTTGTCTTTCTGAAAAATGAAAACTTTCGCATATCTCTGAACCAAAATATCTTGGCGATATCAACTGACCGTTATATCCTACAGTTTTAAAAATAAAAGCTGACTAAGTTTTGCAGGAAGCTTTAATTTTATCTTGAAGCGATTGCCTAGAAAAAATTTTAAAATACTGGAAAAGCTTTTAATCGTTTTAAAATACACAGTTGGCATACCATGGAATATTGGAACGGCTTGGTGGGAGAAGGCCATATAACATGTGTCCTTTGGGCTGTTTCCAATTTCCAACGAGATAGTTCGAATGCACACGATGATGCTGTCCAAATTTCTGCACAAGAACTACCAGCATGCTCATTCACTGTCGGATACGCTGGCCAACAACGCAACATCCTGCATGCTTCATTCGGATGTGGCCAACTATTCACTTCAACTCCGAACCTTCAAATGATTTTTGAGTGTATTTCCAATAACAGATTAAAATAAGTAAATAGGCACACTAAGTTATATTAGTCGAATAAATCAAACTTAATAACAACATAGTAATTGAATAAGTAAGAATATAAATAAGGTAACCCACGCAATAAAACAAAAAAATTCGAGAAGCAATCAATTTAATTGCAAAAATTCAAGAATTTTTGCAATTAAATTGACTAAAGAGTTGCTTTTACTTTCAGTAGCATCATCTTCATAAAATTCCTATCTGTTATCTCTAATACGAAAAAAAAGATATCCCAGGATACAATTTATCCGTCTGTGTGCTTCAAAAAAAAAGCAAAAAATTGAAGTATAATGCTTAATGATAAGGAGAAAGAAAACAATATAAACATAACAAAAATGGAAAGGCCTGAACTTTTTCACTACCAAATTATAAAAAGACAAATAACCATAATGCATTAAAATTTAAAGACTCTAAATTTGGATGATTAAACGGCGTTTCATCCATTCAATCCTAAAAATAATGATAATTAGCAACTTAAATAACTTCACTTAACATCATATTTATCTTGGAGCAAACGATGCAGTGATGGATTACCACAGAAATAAAACACTTACCTTAGATCCCACAGAATGATGTAACGACTGGTTGATGTAAGACACATCCAATTTTGACTTACTGGATCGATACAAAATGATGTTATCAAACCATATTCATTTTTGATGCGATGTTTCCAAATTAATTTAGGCTTACAGCCCAAAACTGCTCTCTCATACGTTGGTATCCTTCAATGTTAAATGCTGAATTACAATTAATTAAATTTAGAATAACCTTTTTTAAACATTAAATCATCAGATCAGAAGTGACATTTAGCAAAACCAGCAATATGGCATTCAAAGAACGGTAACACCGATCAAACAAAATTTTAAGCTATTCTGGATATAAGGTTTTTAAGAGCTATTTGCATCATCACACTAGAAGTATTATTCACCAGCAAATAGATTGAATTATCAAGTAACAGTAAACTACTTCACACTTGTGTTAAAACACCAACTTGCAATACTTATTAAGTATTTATTAAATAGTTATTAACCTCATATTAGAGTAGAGAGTTCCTGTTCGACGAAAGAGAGTTTAACCAAAATCGAAGTTAAAGTACATTTCCATATTAAGTATTAAATTAAACTTCCAATGATGCCTGAGTATATCATTTGCCTATTTCAAAGTTTCGGCAGCAAATTTTATCGTTGCAAACATTACCTATTAGGGAAGAAAAGTTCCCTACTACAGAAATCATCCAACGATATATAACGCAATGAATTGATTACAAAGTGATCCTAAAAGATTTCGAAAAATTTCGAATGAAATCACCTGCAATCAAGGCAAAAAATGCTGCTGTGATGGGTTAAAACATAGAGAAGATTATCAACGGCAATGATATCCACTGGTGGACCTTCTCTTTCTTTATCGAAACTAATCTTTGTTAAAAGCTGCATTCGTTCAGCATCGATAAAGCTAATACGACAATCTTCACTTGCAATAGCCAGGTGAGATCCTGTTCGTCCCAAAAACTGCACTGAACTGATTTCCTGATCTGAATTTTAAAAATTTGATGATCAGCTTTTTCTTTTGCGACTATTACTTTTCACATGGTTCGCAAAAAAAACTTGTAAAGAACCTTTCGATATAAGCGTATTTATGCACATAATTCTTAATAAAATCTAAAAATCCAACGATCTTAACTCCCGTTATCAACTTATTTAGCAATATTAAACTGCTCTAAGAATTATGTAAATAAGCAAGCAGTTAAATAAATAAGATGATACCACAATATTTAAAAATTTTTAAGGATGTTAATAATGGACATATTTCTGAGACTAGTTGTACATAAACTATAATTCAAGTTTGCCTACCGCTGTAGTTAAATGTAGCATCGGCACGGACAGTCATACTCAAATCTCCATGTATTCGATTCAGTGACCATAGTTTCACAAGTCCATCAGCTCCCGCGCTCGCAAAACAAGCATTCGGATTTTGTGCTAATCTAAAAAAATATTTTATCCTAGTTTTTGCATTAACCTAAAAGTAGCATTCCACGACTCTCTTTTCTATGCCGCTTCTAAACTGCGTAAACGGTTAGGCTTTAAATGAACAACAAATGAAAACGTAAAAAAGAACTTTAAGCTAAATAGATAAATAATGTCAAAATATAACTGAGGTTCATTTGATATTTTTATTTAGAATAAGATTAACTTACTTGTTAACAGCTGCTTTATGTTCATGTAGATGGGAAACTAAATTGCTACCAAGACGTATAGATGGTAACGGTAGTGAGGAATTGGAATTAGCAGAAGAACTTCCAGAATAGATGATAGGATGAAATCGTTGACGCTTTGCATAACGTTCCCTCTTGTGAGTTAGTAGCTCCGAGAGCATTATTTTACAAGCCGACGAACGTGCTAAAACACCGTTTGTATACTAATGCTACAATCAATATTCCAGCCAATTTATTTAACTGAGATATCAGCATGAAGTCTCCGAGGCTTTCAGTAACCTGAGAACTAAGCCACATCTCCAAATTGGAAGGAGATTTTCCTAATCAGCTCTATTAATTTTCATTAGAATTCTAACAAGTTAAAATTTTTGAAAATCAATTAAGGAGGACTAATATATCAAAAAAGTCGCAAGAAAAATTATTATAAAATCCGAATTTCAAAAAAGTATAAAAAAGTTTTTCAAGAAAATTACCAGTAAAATTGTGGTCAGCACCAAGATGTGAGAAACCCGATGTTGATAAAGTATATTCGGGCAATTTTTGTGTTTCTGAAACAAGAGATCCCGAATTTAATGCAAGCGTGTTAACGTCATCATAAATATTTCTCCATTCTGCAGGATATTCGCCACTTGCACTAATTGTCTGAAGAAAAATGGAAACAAAGCATGAATTTCATAATCTAGAGTCATTCAATAGACTATTCAGTTCCTTGCAGACATACTATTACTAGTCGCTGAACTAGATTCCAATCAGCATTTGTCCTAATATTTTGTCCACTAATTATTGGCGTTCTATGAGAAAGGCTTATCGGTACTACATTATTGTAAAGTGCAGAACAGTACAAGGATTCCAAGTTAAACTCATTTACAAATAAAAATTATGAAACATGCAAGGCAATTATCGAAGACAATAAGATAAATTAAACTTGTAGAGTAAAAACAGACCTTAACACATGCCGTTTTTGGATCACTGCTAAGATCGAATGCATGCAGTTTCACATCAGTTTTTGCCAAATCAATGACACCAAGCTTTCGGTTCAAGTTAGCACCCAAACTGTAATTACAGTTTGCAATGAATAAAAATAAATGTGGCTAATTTTTTCTTTTAAATAGTACAAGTTAATTACCGAAGTCGACTAAGTGAAGATCAAAACTTAGTGAAATTTAGTGTAATACATCACATCAATATGGATATACAGTATTTGCATTAGATCGTAACCAATTATTACTAACACAAAGGGGTAATGCGTCAATAACGTCATTTCAGACAGGATAAAGTAATCATACGACATTCCATCTTATGACTTCAATAAATGAACCAAAACTGATTCAAAATTCACAAAAACCTTGTCCGAAATTTTAGTCCTATGCTGCACTATTGATAAATACGGCCGTTTTACGAACTTTGAAAGTTTAGCAAGGGGAAAATTACCTGATGCGAAAATCAACCATTTTAGTTATTGTATCTTCAAAACGAACTAATTTGTCTTCGACATTATGATCCATGCCCAAATTTTCCAAGTGTTTTAAGCAGGATTCCAACTGTGCCGAAGCTGGTTGGTATCTGGTAAAATGGAAAATTATCTATTCGCTAACTCTTTGTATTTTTATGATTTTAATAACAAATTCTTTCACCCTTCTCATTTTTATGACAGAAAATGTCCCAATTTTGCTGTGATATTTGCCTCGGTGGCTGATAATAAAGGAATAATTTTCAGAAAATATATCAGACTTTATGGGATATTAAGAAATAATTCTAGGAAAATTTCTTAAGGTATTGAAAGTAGTCATAGTGTCACAAAATAAAAGTTTCTCCCAAGTTAAGAAAGCAACCTCAACGAAATGTCTACGAAAGCAATCACCGTTTGGGCACACGGCGTGTGAAAAATAATGATACTGATATGTATACAGACTGCTATTTAGAGTAAATACTACATATATCTTTAACAAATGGCTTTGGAAAAAACTTGACGATAATTAAAATTAAAATATGGAATACAAACTTCCTGTTAACTGCAAGCATTGAGTCTGGACCACCATCCAAAGCTATATATATCTGTTTATCTGCTATGAAATCGAGCAATAACTTGACAGGTGCAACGTTCACTACATAGTTCCAAATCGGACGTGGAATATGAGGTCTTAGCAAAGCGGCAACTACAAACTACAAAAGACAGAGTTAAATATAAAATTTCCTCAATATCTTCATATCCAATAAGATATGTGAGATCTTAATCAATAACGTTTCATGTCGATCAGCCAGAGAGAAAATTCAGGCCCTATTTATTGAAACTTCGGCATATCAATTAAAATACTTATACTGCATCACACCTTATTCCGTAGTTTTATCAACCTCTCTTTTACATAAGGCTCTACCGCTGGCATTACTCGGCACAAAATATCTGCTATGTTTAATTTTGCGTCCAGTGTACTTAAAACATTCAGCGTTGCCATTCGCAGATATTCATTCTGAAAATTAAAAAATTCTACCAAAATGAACAACAGATGAATAAATTAATTGGTGACTCGAATTTTTAGGACAATAATCTCAGTAAAGTGCTACCAAAAACTTTAAAGTCGAAATTAATTAAGACATACTTACTGGATGAGATAAAAACTGCACGACATCATTTAGTAATTCGTAAATAGCACTTTTCTCAAGTAAATTTTTTTCACATAATTGGCATATGCAAGACAAGGTGCTGAACTGCACAAATTCTTCGTAATCATATAAACCCTGCAGCAAAGTTATGCCTTCGGTTAAAAATTATTTCTTGGCATTTCAAAAAGTGTTTTGAATATTATGAACTTATTAAAAGCTCCATTTTCTAAACAAACTTTTTCATCAGTAACTAAACAGTTTATTTCTTCTAACCAAAATATGTTTATTTCCGGTATTATTTAAGCTTCTTTATAAATAAATGCGTAAAGAATTAATTCAGATTAAATTAATTACAAATAGATAAATAGGAAAAAAGTATAAGTGCAATAAAATTTAAACACAAAGCTAATCAGTAACCTCCTTAGTCTTATCACTTTTACCTATCGCCTTTTTTAACGATCGCTCATCATGTTATTCTTACTTATCACCTTAACTATAAGAAAAAGGTGAGCAACTATGGGACAGCATTCAAAGAAAAGCTTATTTCACTTTAATCACTTACTTTCATTCATATCTTTAACTTTAATTTCATCTCCTTATATTTACTGCCAAGCTGAAGCTCTCAAATTAACGCGAAGACTATTCAGTATTATCTAAAAGATCTAACAATGATATCGGATGTGAAGTGCATAAGTATGAACCTGTTGCAAAAGTGCTTGCAAAATGTAGGTACCCTGACGACCAATCATATGAGCAACTATGGGACAGCATTCAAAGAATGCTGCTCGAAGGCGCCAATCGACTTTGTCATTCAAAAATGTAATCAAATGCGACAGCAAAACATCCGTTGCTACAAATCAGTTCATAAAATACTGAAATTTATTTTCAAACACGAAATTGAATTCTAATATAAAAAGATTGAACTAATTCATTTCAGTATCATAATTTCCGAATTATAAATTTAACATTGATGCAGCTCAATTTGACTTGAAACGCGTCTTTTTTAACAGTATCTAATGTCATATTGTCATATTCATCTTTTGAGACAAAACAATTTTTCCGAAACCTGAATATTTATTAGTGCGATAATTAAATGCAAAATGAGTGCAAGATGACACTTCCACTATTTCAAAGATTATTGTATCACTTCCCTTCCCGTCAATCGAGTATCGAAAATTCTGAACAAGTAACAGTAATTCTCACCTCTCCTACGATCAAAAAAGCGACACAGCTTTGTCAGTGACTTCCGAGTTACAACGCTATGCTGTAAGTAAAAATTTTATGACCAAACCATACTGTCAGGATATATTTTTGTAACCAAATTATTATTCCAGTTAATTTTCTTCTTTCCTGCAGAACCAAAGTTGCAACAATCCAGTTATGGCTTAATTTTGAAATTAAAATAACAAACAAAACAGTCAAAATCGAAAAGAATTAAAAATATAAGTGTAAAATTGATTCAGTGATTGAAGGAAAAAGTTTAAAGTTGACAAATCTTTTGCTATAAAAGAGGAAACAAAGAAAATCGAAGCGGATATTAGTTTCTTACAAATTTTGATACCTTAACGATGTTCTCAGAGTCGCATAAATTGACGAAAATGTCAACAATAGTCTGCTGAAGCGCTTTCGTTTCTTGCTTTGCAAATTGCTTTTCACATTCATTGTCGTCCATTTCGGTAACCATCGATCCATCCAACAAATCTTTCGTTAAATTTTTCCGTTTTTCATACACAAATCTGAAGTTTAATTATTCCGAAATATGAGCGTAGTGAAAGTTAAAATATGAGCTTAGTCTAAAAAGAACACTTCCTACCTAAAAGAAGCTTCGGCTAAATCGCCCAAATTTTGCGCTAAAATTATTCGTACCACGGGATTTCGATCCAGCGAGACATATTTCTGAAATATAGCATATTTATTTAAACAAGTACAGATATACGCGTTAATATAACTGCAAAAATATTACTCCAATTTCTATGATTCCATTAAGAAGTTCATATTATCTTTCCTAGTTGTCTGAAGTCCTTCTATAAAATTACTTGTTACTTAGAACAGTAGAAGTCATAAAAGCTAATTGCTATTCCTGATTGCCTAAAAGGAAATCATAAAAGTGCAATAGAATATACTAAACTGAAACATAAATTGAGTGGGATCTTTTAAGATAGAAAAGCGTATAAAGTAAAACAGATTTCATGGAAATTTCGATCATTTAAGCATAAAAATGGAACGACGGTTTTATAAATCGAAAGTTCTAGTTTTATTATGATTTAGAACAACTGCAGTGAACAATAGTACAAATTCATTTTTTCAAATATTTAATCTTCAAAAAATAAAAGATGACGGAATTTCTTTGCATGGTGAAAGTCTTACAAGTCTTGGAAACAAATAATCCATAAATAATCCAGTTTCATGGCGTGGTATTTCCTTGAATGATGTTAGTAGCTTAGTAACTGAATAAATTGCTTCACATTTAACCTGAACCATACAATCGAACATCATTTCAACCTAGAAAAATTTATTTAAAAATCGCTACTATGACTACCATGGATGCGAAAAGCCAATACGCCGATCTGATCTGATAAATAAATTTTTATACATTTCAGTGCAAATACTCTCATATATCGAAAAAAAAATGATAATGACAAACCAAATACGGCAACATACGATTCGCAACAACTGATATATCAACCCACGGCACGTACCTATGCAATAACTTCATAGCTTCCTGGAAAAAATCCAATTTAATTTAGAATAACCGTTAAAAATATACAATTCAAATAGGGAGAAGAACAGAAAATTCAAGTAACAAAATTCAATTGAAGCTTCAATAGATGGATGAATTATAATTAAAAGTAATTTCAAAACTTAGAAATGTTTTCGAACTTTCTTAATCTCTGCATTTTTGGAAGTAAAATTTAGTATTGCCTCATTACTATAATCCTTATGATATATATAAGAGAATAAGAATACTTAATATAATCCTAAACTATGCACAATGATAAAATAGGATGATAAAGTTTTGAGCCACTGAATACGGTATGCATTTCAGTGATATGAAGACAAATATCTCTTCATAAAGAGGTAGAAGGACACAATAGTTCCATCTTGAAAGATTAAATATAAAGTGAAGTGTACTAACAAATTTTATAGTTAATGATTTCAGTGAACGCATATTTGAGGTGATCAGTGCAATAATAAGTAAAAGGCCGCGTAATTGATCGAACGGTTTTCCATTAAGCTCAGCTTTCTCTGATAATTTTCCCACAGTTGCTTGCATATCGAGTGATAACCTGAATAAATTTCGTCTCAATTTTTATTATCAGAAAATGACGAGCATATACTACTAATCTTAAACCCTCCATAAGAGGCAGATAATAATAAAGTGTTAATCTGATAAGTACAAGTCCGTTGTAAAATCCATTGATTTGTCTCCATTCCTACTTACTACTTTCTGAACAGGAATAGATTCCCAGACAGAAATATTCAAGAAAATTAAGAAAACATAGATCTAGAGGTGGAAAAGCAGCGTCAATAAATCTAGGAGGAGGGGAAAGAAGAGGGGGAAAAAGTAGCATCCTTTCAAACCATTGTAGTTTCATAAAATATTGAATTAAACGAACTTTGTAATCGCATCATCCGGCTCTATTAATTCTGAAGTTTGCGCTTCTTCAAGCGATACGCTTGTTTGTACATATTTTGGTCGAAAGGCATTTATATAACCATATAGGAAGCGATCAAATATTGGTGGAAATAAGAGCGGAGAATATTCTCGGACCTCAAAAATTTAACTTTCAAAAATGAAATAAACCACTCTCATAATAAAATAAACCAATCTCACAAAAAAATAAAAAAAAAACTTTACAAAAAATGAAACAAATCAATCCTCACGGAAGATGATCTACATGTTTGTTCATTAAAATAAAAATAAAACCTTCTACATTTGCGCTTCTTTCTCTCTTAAATGAAGAGAAGAAATTTGAATGGAGCAGCAGAAAATCTGAGAGATAGAACCAGAAAAAAATAGTATTCTGAACAATTTTAATTAATTATGTTTTCCCCAACATTAAATTCAGAGATCTACGCTTCTTGCTTCTCATTTATAGCGAAATCACAAAATACGATCAAGAATCAACTACCAGAAAGCTATCGATCTTAATTGTTTAACAGCTCCTCAGTGGTTAATTACTTAAAACGATGAGTGGATTAAGGTGTTTGTAGCGTTTTGGTTATATATAATTAAGCCTTTTTGCCAAGGCTAACCTTGTATGCAACATGAAATGTCTCATAAAATCTATCATTAACACATTGTAATTGTAATTACTTGTATGTTACGGGATGAAAATGCCTACTAAAACTGATGCTTTCGGCCTTTTTGCTGGGTTTCGATGAAGCATCAAACTGATCATGCTGCGTAATTCTTCAGGCAACTGTTCTTGGATTTTTTGAATCATCGCTTGTGCCTCTGCGTCAGAAGCATGCCTAAAAATTCCAACCTTGAATTATTTAATTTATTTCCAAATAAAATTTGAGAAAAAGAGCTCCAGGACTTGAAAAATATAGGTTTATCAACAAAGCCCAAAAATTTTTCCAATTGACGTACTTGTATTTAACGAGTAATTCGTAAGTAAATGGACATTGCCCTTCCGTAAACAGCTCAACAAGTACACAGCCAAGAGAAAAAATATCCATAGCGTGTGTGAGGCCTTTAGAGACATCCATAAATTCACCCGGAAGATTCGGAAGTAAATTTAGCTCTTGACTGGTGCAAAATCTTTCTGGTGCCAAACAACAGGTTAACCGTCGACTCGTGTCGAAGAAAAATGTGAAATACGATGGATCATCCTGAAGTGCTGACATACTTAATTTCAACGTCCAGAGCTTCTGATTTCTAACAGATTTATATAAATTCTCTTCCGCTTAATAAATGATATTGCAAAGCATCTGACAGAACAGCATCAAGAAGAGGAAACAATCTAGAAGAGAAAACAAACGAAAAAGATGAACATGATTGAGGAAATCTTCGCAAGAAACGTGATGCATAGCAGAAAATCTAAAAACTGTGCTTTGCATTAATAATGAGTATTGAAACATATAATCGAATATTTTACAAACCGATGGAATAGTGGCAGGCTTGAATGATGCAAAATCGGTTACTTGTACCCAATTATAACTTGAAACAAGGATATTCTGAGTTTTTATGTCCCCATGGCATACTTCGGCATATTCGCATTGAGCAAGCGCCTGAAAGAAAATGAAAAAGAAACACTGATAACAAACCAATCGCTAAAATTTTTCGTTGATATGATATGAGAGAAGAACTTATGACCTTGAAGAGATGAAAAGTAATCCATCTTTTCTCAATATCCGTAAGATATGGATGTGTGGTTATGCGGTCATAAAGAGTATACTTCTGGAATGGCCGTGACAGAATAACACAGCGTGATGTAACCTAAACAGTCAATTTTAAAAGACAGGCATAATTCTTTCAAATCTCAAGAATAATGATGCAGTTCGAAATGTGCCAAATTTCTTTTACTATGGTAAAAAATTTAGAAATTCTATTAATAGTTTCATAAGTTAGCTTCAGTATTTAAGAAATATGAAAACAAGAAGAGAGCTATTATAATATAGCAAAACTGAAATCGATTGTTAAATTCAGTGAAAGGAAGTTATAGTAAGTTTTGAAAAATAGTCATACATTTATCAGTATTACTTACATATACTCGTCTGAAAGGACAGCAGTTGTAGGCATTGCACAGGAGATCGCGGATTTGAATAACCTGAACAAAAGAAAGTTCCGAAGTTCAAAAAAAATTTACATTTATAGAAAAGAAAAAAGAGATACAAGTACCTGGTCACGGTAGAGATCAATCGAAAATGATGGATCTTGTAGAATAAAAACTTTAAGAACTGATGGACCTTCCGCATGATCTACTCGAGCTACTTTCATAAATCGAGTACTTCCTAGGCTGAAAAAATAAACAAATACTTGAATAGAAAGCACATTAAAAAAAAACTTTAATACATTACTTTATAATAATATTCATGGCAACAAAGAAGAGATTGACATGGCAATTTCTCTTCGCCTTTCTCTTCTTTTTTGCCATGAACAACAATGTTGTTACTAAACTTTTTATATATAACATTTACACATTTCTACATTGCACTGCGATGACATCATATATAACTTGGTTGAAATATTTTACTTATACCATACTCATGTTGTCATTTAGAGTTACATATATTCCAGTTTTTGCTTTTATATTAATAGCCATCATGTTAAATGAAGCATTTATTATTGACAGTGCTTTAGCCTCTCTAATACAAGTACAAAAAAACATTGTTTCAATACTGTGGAACTAAGTAGAGTTTTCATAATTAATAGAATTTAAATTCCAGCATATTGGCTTTCAACATGTGCTGTGACCTATATCTTGCTAAACGATTATTCACAAAATCTACGTTAAATTTAAAAATTCTATTAATCATAAAAATAATAGCTGAGAAAAGTTTTAAAAAAGAAAAATGAAAAAAAAAACCTTCCGACATATTCCACATCGCTAATATCCGAAATACATGCTTCTACAGTCAATATTTGGTTAGGTATCGGTGCCGACAAAACGTTTCCCATCTCTTTTCACTTTTCCATTATTCAGTGTATTCAAAGCTTAAAGGCACATCTGAAATATAAGTAAGAACATATTCTGAATGAAACTGAAACATTATTGATCGAAGTTAGTCTTTGATATAAGAGTGACGTGAAAGACTTTTTTGATATTACAGCGTGAGAGACTGCAACGTCAAAAATTATCCACAACAAATGAAAGTGTTCATTTCTTGAAGCAATGAAAATAAATCCTAACATTTTCAAATGTTTCGTACGACAAGTAAGAAGTGAAAAGAGTGCAGCTAAAAACAGACATAAAAAACATGATGTCCTAAGCGAAATGGTACATACCGCGTTGTTCCGAACTATGAACGTGAAAATATCCCGCAACGTGAAAACGAAACACATGTAATCATGAATGAGATCACTTTCGCATTTTTCCACAGCCCCATAAATGAAAATCAGGATCTCGTGGAAAATTAATTTCGAAAATGTGACATAAAAATAAAAGAAAAGAGTTTTCGTCAATTATTTCTTTTGTTTTCTTTTGTTTAAGAAAAATTTCCTAAGCTTAAAACTGTATAAATTTATAAGACAAAGAAGAGATGAGCAGAAGTTAATGAGATTTTTCTCTGAGGAATTTAAAATAAAAATTACGTGTTAATTTTCATCAATGCTTGATGGAATCAAAATATAAAGATTAATTTTTTTTTGTTCGTCTATCAAAATTTATGGATAACATATGATAATGAAATTAAGACCACAAAGTTTGATCTTTAAGTTATTTGTTGGGTTAGTTTTTTAGTTCTAATTAAAAATATTTGGTTGTGGTCTAAAAGATTCAAAAATCCAATTTTTTAATTTTATTTTTTGAGGTTGAAGATATCATAAAATGCAACGCTGAACTTTTCGTGAAAATTTGGTCGCATTAAACTATTTTTTCTTTTTCCTTAATTATCGATTCCTAAAATCAGCGGATTTAATCGTAAAAATGGTTTGATGATTGGCATTGTAAACTACATTTGAGAATTGATGTACGTATTTAACATATTGGCGTCAACAAAGAAAGATTTATTGCATTTATTGATCTGACAATTACAACTAATAATTTTGTGAGTGATCACAACAAATTAGCAACAATTTTGTTGTCAAACTACTCCATCGTCTCAATATAAGACAACAAAGATTCATTTAATCTCTTCATCGTTTTCATCTTTCAACTTTCTGGTATGCCTCTTAGCGAACTCAAAAAGGTATATTTTATGCTGTAAAAATTCTAATATAAATTACTGATTATCATTATATCATATAATTTGCGAAGATATAAAACGTAATTTGAGATGAGTATGTGTATCGTCTCAAAATTCCAACTGTCAGAAACTCTAAAATTTTACACTTCGATATATCAAACAATTGCCTAATTTACATTTTAATTCTTTTTCGATTATCAATTTCCCTCCAAACAACTATCATAATTTAATAATGCCATATCCACAATTTGTTTAAATGATTATCAATTGTTGGTGAGTATTTCTTGTTCTTTTCCTCCAGCTAATTTGACCGAGATCTTCTGGATTATTCATTGAAGTTTTTACGGACGACATGTTATGCACTATCTAATAACTTTTGTTACTCATCTAATGCAATCTTTTATCACTGTCTAAAATTCTAGAAATGGTGGGGAATGAATTTCGAAATAGCAGCTGAAGAGATGCGACGCCTTGATGGTGAGCCAAATGAGGATGAGAAATTGCAACTCTATGGCCTTTATAAACAAGCAATTCATGGTGATAAACCGTCCACTGAAGATTATCGTCAGTTTGTTTTTCATTCACTAACTTTATCATAACTAGCATTGCTACTTCTTATTAAGCTTTGAATCATTTCATCAACTGTACAAACATTTAATAATCATAAATACAATTAAATTCTCTTTCATATAAGAGAAGAAGGATTGCATGCTAAGGTTTGACCTTCCACCTTAAGATTCTTTTTACACCTCACTTCCGGAAATCGAAAACATTGCTACAATCCTCAAAAATGATTGTTTATGGCTGCAATGTGCATGAAATGTGCAACGAAATGTCCAAATTTTTTACTTGAAGAACAAGCATTTGAACAGATGCCAGCATAAAAAATCCAATTTAAAAAAGTGAAAATAAATCAGTGTTCAAAATTAACTGCACTTTACTGTTCTTCAACAAAATCTTTAGTTTTTGGTTAGATATCAAAAAAATTTTTTAAACATTGAGTAAATATTACAACCGAATTCGTTTCACATTTGTCTACAATTTTTTAGCCAAACCATCCGACACTGATCAGTGGAATTTATGTAAGTACAGCGCTTGGATAAAAAATAAAGGTTAATTTTTTAGATGGCATTGAATTTGATCTTCATAATAAAAATGAATTTATAATTTCGAATCAAGTTTATGCAGTTTATGCAATTAATAGTTGGTTAATTTATTTTTTTACTAGAGATATTTGCATAGTGTTAACTGATAAAAGGACTGAGGAATAACTTCAGACGAGGAGTAAGCGGCAGAAGATGAACATCTCATTAAAAATTCTAAAAGTGAAATTGATCTGTCAATTTTTTAAAGCATTACAAAAAAAGCAAAACCCTCGCAGACACAGATCTCTCATTGCTCGTTCATCTTATTTGTTAGGCCACATGATTAGCTCATTAAAAGCATATGAAATAAAAGAATCCGTTGGAAACTATGCTGTGATGCAAAATAGATGAAATGTAAACTGAACAGGAAAAAAAGTTTAGTTATTAACATATCATAATATTCAGGAAAAGATCGACAGCAGTGCGAAAAAGAGTATGTACAAATAGCTGAAGAAATGATCAAAAAATATGGTCGGAAAATTGTACGCTGCAAATGGAACAGTGAAGTTTGGACCGTTGATTACTGATGGAAATTTCACTCATTTGAAGTGAAAAGGGTTGATGGAGTGAGAAATCTATAGATCATCAGCTTCTCTTTTTTCTCACTAATTAACATTGTAACTGACATGATTGTTCTGTGTTACTTCCGGATGCTGAAAAAAAGAGCAAGATGATTATTAATAATAAAATTATGCCACCTAAGTCTCATTTTAAATATTTAGGAAATTGGATATATGAAATTATAGAAATTATAAGAGAAGTTCAACGTATTTCTCACAAGATATATCAACCTCTAACTTTCAACAGATCTCTTTCTAAAGTGGTGACTGCACTGTAAAATCTTTAATCCTTTTCCATGAGTTCTACAATTTGCCGTTCTAAGTAGGAAAAAGACTAAAATACGAAATGATCGACTTAGGGCCTTTTTATTCGGTAATACGTTAACGGAACCACCACAGAGTCATAACATAACAAACTTAAAAACTCACGTCGATTTCCAACAGTTCCATTGATGCTTCAAATACACAATCACTGATCTTCTTCTGTACTATTAAGCCAAGCCGTGGATTTCTCATCGAAATTGCTCTTACTTTTTTTTCCACAAACTGACCTAAAATACATTTTGAAAGAACATGAATGTTGATAGCAAAAAACAAAAGATATTAAGTTGTTTTAATTCAGAAATTAAACCTTTGAACAAAATGGTAATTTGAAGAGCTAGAAAAGTGAGATAACAATGAACTGAAGCAGCACCCAAAAGAGTGAATTCGTCGATTATTTCTCGCCCAGTCTTTCGGTCAATACCATGTGCCATTTGTAATGCACTGGAACGCCTTTTCGAACCAACAACTGGTGGGCAGGAAGCATCCGGTTTTACTGTAAGTTAAGTAATAGTATTCACTACTTCTCGAAAACCAGCATATTCTTTAGTCTTGTTACCTGTACGTCATAACTCAGTTTTAGTTAGCCGTACATCCTTTAATCTAGAATACTTACATATTCAGGACTTCTATTTCATCTGTTCTTACAATAAGATTTTATGCTAATTTATTTATACCAAGAAATTTTTACTCATTTTTACTTATTACAAGATTTTTTTACTTATATCAAATATTTTAGTATCATTCCTTCGAACATACAACATTGTCTTGAAATAACTAAAATCAAAATTGAAACAAGTAAAGACAAACAAAGAAACGAACCATCATGATTTGATGATTCGTCGCCATTTTGATGAAATGAGCTCTCGCTAAATTGTTCCGCTTTTGAGACCGCTTCAATTGTCCGTTCGATGTTTGCCAACCGTTCAATGTTCGCCAGGGCTTCGTTAGTCTGATCGACTGAACTGTATGGATTTCCGGCCGTACTAGGACTACATGTTACGGTTACAGTACTTGTTACGGGGTATAATCCACCATCAGTTTTGGATGGATAAATAGGATATGATGATTGCTGATCACCTTCCTTACGTTCCTGCGACATCAAGGCACTTGGTGTCGAATATGGTCGTTGCTGTTGAATGTTCCGATCATCCAAAAGAAATGAATTGTACAAGTAGCTCCTAGAAATAGGGTTTCTGTAAAATTAAATTTAAATAAGTTGAACATAAATGAGACGAGACGCATTTGCATCATGCAAATATTGATGATAATCTGCAACAAAAGACCGGTTTAACGATGAAAATGCAGCAGACGGAAAGAAAGTACAATTAATGAACTTTTCTTGCAAAATATAAATTACAGCTCTACAGCATTCATAAAGTTTAAAGCTGAAGAAATGGCTCGAGAACGAACCCCTTTGGGTTTCTTCAACTATCAACTGCGATCATTTCTTCAACTATCAACCCGAACCATTTCTTCAATTATTAACTCTCTCAAACAGAGACAAATTGAAGTGATAGTCCTCAAATCTGCTCATTAATTACACGAGTAACTGTTATACTATTATCTCCACTTATCTATTCATTGATATCCAAAGAACATGCTCCACTCTTAACCTTCCCATTGATCAAACTGAAGTTGCTCTTTTTAAAATATGTTTTAATTTTATTCGAATTCAATCTGAAACCTTATCTTTCTGTAAAAAGAAATTAATTAGGAATAAAAAACAAAAAATACTACCGTGGTCAAATAATAAACTCATACATTATTTTTCATAATTCGGAGCTACTAATAGTGGAAATCCATTAAAAATGAAAACGAATATGACGCTTTTATATTAAATTCTGCAATTTCGACATCCAAGGGATACGCTTTAGCTTCTAATTTAATGCATTTTTAACACTGGTAACAATGGAAAAATGATATTTCTGGTAATGTCCAGATCGCAAAAATTAAGAACGAAAGCTATCGGGGCATTATGCAATTGCTTGTTTCCAAAATCACTAGTACTCTGAGGAACATGGACGGTAAAAAAATTAACAGATTGGGCAAACGAAAATTCTCGAAAGTCTCCGACGATTACTTTTGCAAATGAAATTATAATTCGCAAGAGTGTATTCAAGTAATCAAAACTAGGAATCTAAACCAATATGAACAGAGTAGACTTCCGGAAGCCTTTTTTAATGTTTGAAAACTGGAACAATTATGTTAGGGCTTTGGCAAACTTATACAAATCCTATTTTTTTCGAATAAAAAACGAACGATTTCAAATCCCAGACTTAAAAGTTCCTTTTTTTTTTTTAATCCTCCTCTTTATTCAAAAAATGTTAATTCTTAAAGTTCGGTTTATGAATTCTTGATTTTCTTATAAACTTCATCTAAGAATACAGTAAAAAACTTATTGATACTATAGAAAATATTTTAATAATCCCTCTACTATGCTAAGAGTCAAGAATTGATACTTTTTACTTCTCTTCTTATAGAAATTTGAACTGTGTTTTTAAATTTCATATAACATCGTTATTGAAATTTTAATGATTATGAAAGCAAAAGAATTGGGGAAACAATTTAAAATTACAAAATCAAGAAGGCATAGTAATTTGCCTAACTAAAAACGTCTCATTTATGAAATGCAGACTCATATTATGCCAACGTAATTCTCTTCGAAAATAACACATACAATTCAATGACTGAGTAGAAGGCAAATCAAAATAACAAATAAAAAACAACGAATTTTATCCTGAAATTCTTATCAAATTCAACTTCTATTTGAATAACTTACATTGGATCATTTGCTTCGGCAATATCGGTAGCATCTGTAAATTTCAACATTTGCATGAAACGCCACGGCTTTATTTGAACATTTGATACTTCCATTCGTCGCTTAGCTCGTCTATATTGATCTCGTAAATGTTGCCATTGACGACTTGTATGAGTACCTGAACTTTCTATGTTAGGAAAACATAGATAGAGAAAGAAAGGAAAATGAATGATATTGATCAAAGTAACGGTGTAAGAATAAAAAAGGAATAAATAAAACAAAGACTAAAACGAATGATGACGATCATCATTATTCGTTTTAATCCTAATATCTGTATTTATATTACCATAAACATTTTTGCAAATTTACCAGATAATCAGTTTATTTCTTATTTTCCCCGAAAGATACCATTCGAAAGTGTCCGTGTGATGCATGCGGAGTTATCAGTTAAATTCCTCTAATTTAGATAATACAATAAATATCATGGCAAAAACAACGAAAATGGCAACCACTATGGAAACTCTTCCTCTCTTTTCCTTTCTTTCCCTAATTATTCTTTCCCAGAAACGAAAGATCAGCAGACTGTATTCTAGTATGCCGAATCTCTAAAATGTCAGAAGGGAATTAAAATGCATCATTATAGGTAGAACGAGATGAAGAAGATAAAAAAGAATTGCATTGTAGTCCAGAGTTAAAGAAAAAATTGAATTCTGATCCAGAATTAAAGGAAGACTTGACTTGTGACCCAGAATTAAAAATTCAAAAAAAAATTGCTGCTACATGAGAAATCTGAGACTAAGATAGAGAGAGAAAGAAAGAAGGAAAAAGAAGATAATGAGGAGAGAGGAAGGAAAAACGAATGGTAAACAAATCTGTTTACAACTCCGATTGTTTTCGTCCTATACAACACCTGTCTTTTCGCCTTAATTTCCAATCTCAAGCATCCATTCATTAATATTATCACTTTCAACAATGTAATCAGATCATCGTTATGTTATCATTACTACCATCATTATCACTACCAAAAATTATTGCTAACCTTTAAGAATGATACCAAACATTTCCGACATTTCCTGAGCAATTTCCCAAAAAATTTGTCGTTTTTTGGCAGCATTCCGATAATCAACATTAGAGAAATTCCATATGCATTCCTGACGCTGTACCGATTTGATTAATACCTCACGCATGGCATCCGTCCATACTATTGTTTCGTTTGACATGTTTTTGCTGTTTTCCGTATAAAATATTCTGGAAAAGTGGAAATTTTGGGTATTTAAATTGAAATCTGGAAATTTTACACTAAATTTAGTACGGTGCCGGATTACACATATTTACCCGAATCGGAAATCCAGATCGGCAAGCAATAATTAATTTCTCGAATTTCTGGACAAAACGCTCGTTTACCCCAAAATCTAAGATTTAAGAGCGTCTTTATTTTCAGGTTCGTGGTTATGCACTTTTTTATTCCTTCCACACATTTCTATCCACCATAAAATATAATACCTGAGTGTAACCTGTACATGGAACGAAAATGTTGCGTGGATGTACTTAGACATAACGTTATCAAAGTATAAGTAAACAGTCTGCTAGATATCCTTCCCAACTTCTATAATATCCGAGATTATTCTTGGGGAGTAAGATAAGTCGATAAGGAGCGCTTCAAAGTGTTATATGAGCCCTAATTAATTGTTTGACTCTAACCATTCTAAATTATTATATTTTTAATTAAACCTTAAAATCAAGGTTTACACTTTGGACTAGTAGAATGGAATTCATATGAAGAGTTTAATTTACAATACATAGCACATTTCCTATTTAAAAAAGCTTCTTCCTCTATGCAAGATTTTGCAACTTCCACAATATTAGGCTTAAATAATGGGAGCAATAACCTGGAAATGATAATTATCCATTTCTCAGATATACCATTATCCTTCAACAAAAAATAACTCAATACAACAACAACAACAAGTTATTCCTGATAGGTGAGACAGGTAAAGTAAATGGTACTGATAGGTAATCAACGGGATATATAGAGAAATGGTGCAGAAAAGTAACCAAATTGTGCCAATTCGTTTACCCTTAGCCGATCTTATTTTCATCGTGATCGATGGTGCCACAAATCTTTCTATGGAAAATCGACCTGCGGTACCACGAAGACCGATCGTCATAAGTCCAACTCACAGCAACACACCGACAAATTATATGTATGTCTGTATGTGTGTGTATGTGTCTGTCTGTATGTGTGTGTAGCTGCTGAGGCAGCATAGTGGCTGTTGATGTATGCCGCACACACATACATTATATATATAAATCCATACATATACACACATACATACACACATATATATACACTCACCGACACTGACATTTTTGATCAGCGCCTTCGTTTGCTTCTCTATACTAATTTCTGGACGTCACATACACTTACCGACAACCAACATTCTTCACATACAATCTATATATTCCATCCATACGTAAACATAAACAAATTGCTGCAGGCATCTGCAAACACCACACACACACACACACACATGCAAATGCATATACACATATATAGAGTATATACGTGTATACGTATAAATATATAAGTTCATATACTTATACGTACAAGTTCACTTATATTCATTCGTACGTATAGACAACGTAAACATAAATATATATATATTTAAGTACAACAATCATATATAAACAGAAAAGAAACAAACGCCTACAAACATACATCCACCGACACAAACACTTCTCATCAATGTCATGTATGTGTGTGTATGTATGTCTGTAACTAAAATCGTAGAGACTGATGACATATAACACACACATACACGCATACACGGACGTGATGGGAATCTGCATGACGAAATATGCAGGTAACAGTTATCCGTAGACATGGAAACATACACACAATCATACAGACATACAAAGACATACACACATACATAGACATACACAGACATGCGTACAGAGTTATACACAAACATGCACAGATACACGTAGATACGCATAGACATTCACAGATTTTCACAGACATACATAGACATGCACAGACATGCATAAGTATACACAAAAAGTATACATAGACATACACAGGCATACACAGATTTACATAAAAATGCAACAGACATAAACCAGACATATATAGACATGCACAAACATATCATGCGCACAGACACATTCATATACGATTACTATGATATGCACAAGTCTAGTACACACACATATATACATTATGCACATATACACATACATACATACATATATACATACATCCATACATACATACATGTGTAACACATACATCTATGCGTACATACATACATACATGCGTGCGTGCGTATGTGCATACATACATACACATACATACATGCATATAAAATTCAGTATCGACCGAGGAAGAATTGTTTCCTCGAATGAAGGCAGAATTTCTTGGTGAAAAATGCGGCGGAAATATTCTGAGAAGATCTGATATACGAAGCAAAAAAATGACAGCAAAGAAAAACCGTTTTAATGTAACTGTTTAACGATTTCCTTACTTTTTTCCTGTTCCTTATTTATTTTTGCTAACTAGACTAATCAAACAGAGTTTCACACAATGATTGGACCGGTATTGTCACATGTAGACAAATTTCAGGAAAGAGACTTACCATACTTGTCGGCTCGGCTGTCATTGATATCTTGCTCGATTTCTATTCCACTTCAAATAAGTGTAATATAAATAAGAAAAGAACACTTCAGTTCACACATTGCGCACATGCATACGATTAATACACGTAAAGATCATAAGAATACATATATGTGCGTGCTGATATTCGATTTGCTGATATCAGAAGCGTTCTGAAATTTGAAAATGATTTTCTTTTGCAACAGTAAATTATCGATTATTTAAAACAAAAAGAAATCAGGAAAGCTTGATAGAAGAAATTCCATTATATTACTCTAAATATCCGAGTATATACTAGCAATCATTTAACAGTGTAGATTTTTCGGCGATAATAGCCGTACATTCTCTACACTGTTCTATCAGAATAAAAATGAATTTAGACTGCAATTTAACCTTCCACTTCTAGACAGTGTTCATTACTCCAATAAACCTCTATCTTTGTCACGTTTCATGCTCATGTCACGTTCCAAATGAATGCAATTATAATAACTATAATTTTAATCAGAAATGAAATGATTAAAAACCAAATAGAATGATATAAAAAATTAAAATTAAAAAAGATTAAGATAGAGGAATAAAAAATGAAATATTTGGAATAGTTGAAAAATGATTCTCTTCATTGCTTCATCAATGATCTCTTTATTCGCAATGGCCTTGCCAAAGGTAAATTCAGGAAAATACATTCAAAATTATCCGCACAACCATTTCCCTTTTTTTACACTTCATTTTCATTTTCCATTTTCCTTCCTTGTATGATGGCGGCGAATACTAATTGAATTTTAAACCTTACACTGACCGAATTTTATAAATAGCGATAAATAGCTTTATGTTTGTAAATTAAAGAAAGGATGATTGGAGCAGGTTTCAGGAATTCCTGTACAATTAAGACTGATATCGGTAATGGACAGATGCATATTTTATGAACAAAGAAAGGAACGGAATAACTGAACTTACTTGTGGAAGCCGTAAGTTTTTCGTTAGAGTTTTATATTTTTCCTAAATTTCGGATATTTTTATAATAATGTGAAACAAGTGCAATATCATAATTAATTTACGATTTGAATGAATGAATTTTAATAAATTTACACGTTAAAAGCATTGCCGAAAAACTGATATTTTACGTGAGAGTTGAAAACTGAACATAATTTTCATAAATTAGTAGGCGATTTGGATGGAAGAATTTAAATATATCACGAAAAATTATCATTGTGCGCGAGAGTGATAAATTGAATTTTCTGAATAAGCATAGATTTCAAAGTTGAAATATGCTTCAAACAGTATATCTCTCCGATCTACATTCGAAATTTAAATGTTTAATTTGCATATATTTCAATATGACTTCATTTTATTTTATCATTTTTCTGCAATGATATTTTCCTTATCACTTTCATTCCATTTTCTTCTTGCTATTTTTAAATTTATCGATTATTTTATGTTTTTTTACTGTATTTTTTTGCATTCTTTCCTCATTCATCGTATTTATCAGGAAGTTTTTCAAATGGCAAACAATTCGACTGTATTGAGAATAATACTGAGTGATTCGAAATTTTGCAGGAAGGGAGAAAGGAAGAAAAAAAGAATAGAAATTTACCGAAATAAGAAAGCAAGTAATTTAAGGTTTAATGGAAATTTTGTAACTGAAATATAAGATGTTAATATTCAACCGGATTGTCTAACAGTAATAAGAAATGTAATGAGAGCAGATTAAATCCAATTATTTCAGCATTTCCGGGAATCCCACTTAAAAAGTGCTTTTAAAATAATTACAAAGTTATTTATATTATTTCAATACATAAGATAGGTATACGAATACGAACAATTGGTATGCAATTTCTAAGTATCTGGTTAAGGCTCTTCAAACAAATGCCATTTTCTTCGTTTAATTGTTTTTTGTATTAGAAGCTGTTACCAAGTATTTAACTCATCAGATATGTCGAGTAAAGCAAAAGTTAGATCTGCACCACAATTGACAGCATTTTTTCGAAACACGATCCTCGTGGTGAAGATTTAATTTTAAACCAAACTTAGAAAACTGGTTTTTTTTAAATGACCCATAAAGAAACCACCATACTATTTAGATCCAAATTACAGATATGAATGAATTCTTTCATTGATATAAGAATTCATATTGTGTCATCCACCTAAATGAAAATGAAATGGAGGAGGATCTATAAGATAAAAGTTAGAAACTGCAAGAAATAATATGTATTAGGTCGAATGTTCTTTTTTTTCACATTTTTATTAAAAACTCGAATCCATTTGCATGTATGCTTCAAATTATAAAAATCATAAATTCTGAATTATTCAAAACTTTTTGAAAAAGCATTGAAGAAAATCCATCACCCGAATTTATTACAAAAAATATTGCAAATACATTATAGAAAAATTATGAAGGGTATCTAATTGTATATTCAAGAAGTTAAAGAGGTATAAAAAGATAAATGGGAGAAGTAAATAGGAATCTTGGGATGAAATTTTGTCAAATGCTATTATAGATTATTGCACAATTAATTAATTGCATCAAAATTATTAATTAAAGAAAACTGCAAAGGAGTACGGTAATTATACAGTAAGAAACATGAGAGGGGGATAGATTTATGCAAAATTCGGCAGACATTACTTTTGAATTATAATTTTTTGGGCACAAATAGCCATAGTTATATTACGGTACGATATGAAAACCTAGCAGAAGATATTTGTTCACATTAAATTGTCTAAAAAGTAATTAAATGAATGGGAAATTTAGATATAACAAATTTAATTTACAAAAAAAAGAAAAAGGCAAATTTTAAGATTAGATTATATTAATGAAGTAATGTGTGAAAAGATATACCCGAAACAATAAACAAAATATTTTCCCTTATTGAAGGGATTACAAAGAATGCAGATAGTTCATTCATCTTATCAGCTCGTATTATCAACCATATTAATACATCACTTTTATCTTATGCGCACATTTCTTATCAATCGACCGGTTTAACTTATTTATCGGTTTTATTAACCTATTAGTCGATTTTATTATCATATCATATCAGTAAATTTTGGAAATTTGCAGAAGCCAATAATTGTATTGGATATCTTTTTCTTGTAGATGAAGCAACGAAATTGCTAGATACGGTAATGTATCTATCAATCATCCAGTACTTTATTATATTATTTAAAATGTGCTTACTTCAATCTATCTGTTTCTTCATTTTTCATTTTCTTGTTTGATCTTAACACTCAATGCTATCAATGCTATATTGATTATCTCATCAATTATCGTACAATATTACTTTATCATTACTAAAAAACGTAATCTCAATTAATAACTATGCAAAGTTTCGGTTTCATGCAAAGATATATTATGCATGCATAAACCAATTAAACAAACAAAAAAAACGAATACAAAAGCGGAAATCAACAGAATAAATGTATGTATGCACAACTAATAATACTAAAAATAAAGAAATATCGGTATGGATACAATAAGCAAATTTTGATGAGCAAATAAGAAAGTTTTAAAAGTTTTGCAGAATTCAAAACTATAATTAATTGTATTAATGCCAGTAAGAATAAAATAAGTGTCAGTAATGAAAAAAAAACTGCGTCATTTGTAAAGCACATAACAAATGTTTTTGTTCAAAACCGGTGGTAATCAGAGAAATTTCGACACATTTCGAATATAGCAAAAAATATATATAACAACAAAAAGGCAATATTTCAAAGCACATGTAAAAAGACATATCAATACGAATTGACCACTGACCACTAATCTCTAAACATTGAGCTTATTGTAAATAAAATATCTGCAGGTAATTCAGACCCTTTCTGAATGAATCTGAAGTACCCAAAAGTAACTAACTCATCTAATATCAAACGGAATAAATTAAAGGATATCGAAATTTTATGAAATCACCCATAAGTTTTGATATTAAACCAATGAAACTGTTTGAAAAAAGCGTTATAAAATGTATGCATAACATATCTATCGTCCAAAATGCAGTAATCGTCACAAACTTAACTGTTTTTCAAAAATCAAATTGTACGAGAGAGAGAGAGAGAGAGGAAAAAAAGCAATGCTCTCTACTAAGAATGAAGGGAATGAAGGATCACCTATGCACGATACGAAGTGGTTGTTGGTCATTTTCTAAATCAATTTCAAAACGATAGTTCTGAAGAAAAAAATGATGTTCCTGTTGTCGTTCTTGCTTTTGCTGCTGTTGTTGATACACAATTGGAACATTATCATTGAAAGATCGTTGTTGAAAGCCTTTCGATATTGTCGTCATCTTCGAATGTGATCCACCAACGCCAACAATCACTCGACGCGCTCGACCGATCACACCATTCCATTCCCGTGGTGGAGTGGAATGTTGTTGTTGAGGACATTGTTGTTGTTGTATGTACAAATTATGCTTCCGTATATTCCCAGGATATTTACATCGCGTTGTTGTTGTTGTTGGAGATAAATAATGTCGATCATTTTGCTTCAAATTATCGTAAAAATTTCTGTTATTGAGGGAAGAAGGAGTAACAGAGGTGGACATTGGATGGCTATTGTCTGAATCATTCCATGAAGTATTGTTGATTGGTACCGCATATACTCTTTTCACATTAACATCGATATTAGCATAATGTACATCATCAATTTTCTCCTGCAACATATTTCTTCTTTTTTGTTGCATATGAATTTTATTTTTTACCTCACACAAAAAACTAGAAATATATCACACAAAAATTTGGTTATTTTGATGCAAAAAAATCCATATCAATTAGAAAACAAAAAGATATTCCAAACAAGATGTGAGAGAAATCAATCAGCAATTTCAGTTACTTAACTATATTTAAGTATTGGATATATGTAATACTTAAACACATATATATATATTTACACATTTAAGTATTATATATATACAATATTTAATACTTCAATAGCTGTAATAAAAAAATATAAAATATGAAATAGTAAGAATAAAAAATTTCATGCAATTTGCGAAAAAAGAAAAGATCAAAAGAATAGAATTAGAAGAGTTTCTCATTTTTTTTACTGTTTGATATAAATATCAGAGTTTAATTTTGTTGCATATTCTTAACTGACAATATCAATGTTTATTCTAATTTAACTTATTATTTAATTCAATATATTAATTTAAATTCCGCTCAGTTTAATTTTTTTGTGAATGAAAAAGGAAATCACTCATCTATTGCTTTAAATTTGTTTAATGTTTGAAATCTCGAAAAGAGATTAAAGTAAATATTTAAATTTTTTGATAAACATAGCAAGAAGCAACCAATTTACATATCACACAGCAATTTATTAGTAATATTAGTAATATGTATGTTGAACTTCTATCAGATCATTAAATGTTGTTTCATTTTTGCAGCAATATTATATTGAGCTTTGTGGAGAAATTCACTTTGCAGCAGAATCATTATATGCCTAACGATTACTGCAAAATAAATAGATTGAGTATATGTCGAGAGTGAATTTCTCGAGAAAGCTTAGTATAATATTAACTTACCAATCAGATCAAAAAAATTTTCAATGATAATTGAAGGATTTCAAAAAGAAGAAAAAACAAAAAGGAAAATTTTAGTAAAGGAAATCTCAAATGTAACACATTCACTTACTCTTTCTTTGAGTTTTAGCCTGCAATTAGTTAAACAATGAATAAGAAAAGAAAAGAATAAGGGAAAAAATAGGAATTTGTGATTGGGAAATAACGAATCATTATTAATTAGAAACAAATAGAAATTAAACTATCATTTAATTACTTTCCACTAATTACAGCATACAATATATTAAGTCATAAATAATCATTAACTAATACTAATACTTAAAATCCTATTTCATCTCTTTCTAGTAATATTAATATCATTCATCTCTTTCCACTAATATTAATATCATATGTTAACTTAAAAAAAAGAAGACTAACAGCAGTTGTTTTAACATTAAGAGGATTTGTCGTTCTATCACCGAACGCTTCATCGCGTTCTCGACCTGTTTTTGCTGTTTTTGATTGACTTTTGTTTTTTGAAACAGAGTTGCGATTACCATCCACACCAATGATCGTTGTTTCACCCGTAGTGGTAAAATTCGTTCCGAATGGTTTTGGTACCGAATTTAGTAAATTTCCACAATTAACTGTAGAAATTTCCTTTGAGTTTATAGAATTTTTCTTCACTGCTGGTTTTTTATCTGCGGTACTAGTTTTCCGCGTGTAACGATATGGTCCAACACCTTCTCTTGGTGGTGCCGTGGTTTCCTCTTCTAGTGTCAGTCCGTGTACTGTATCTTTTTTGGAAGATTTCGTTGATGATGATGATACTGGTGACACTTTATCGCTCTTTTTGAAATCTGATGCAATCTTCTTTGTAGTACCAGTTGTACTGCTTTTTGATGTTAGCTTTGGGGATTCTTCATGATCCGATGATTTCTGCTTGTGAAGTGATTTTACAGCAGTTGTCTTTAGTGAATTCTTGAATTCATCTGACTCAGTGGTCTTTTTCCATGAAGGTCGGGGTGTTTCAGACTTACTTGCAAGAGAGAGTAGCGGAGGCGGCTCTGATCCATCATCCTTAATCCATGGTGGTTTCTTGATTCGACCCGGTTTGACTGTTTCTTCGGGTATTAAATGTCCCTCGGGTGGATTTTCGAAACGTTCCTTGAATTTTGAGATATCCACTTTTGGCACAGCCCATGGTAGAGGATCATTTTGTTCTACTTCGTTTTCTCCTTCATCGGATAGCTCTGGTGAGTCTTCTTCCGGTTTTGCTGGAGCTGCATAGGTTTTCTTGGACATTGCTACTGGTGGTTCATTTTTAGTAGATGATTTTCGTCGTAATTTTGATCCTTTTGCACCTGATTTCTTTCTCATAGAACCTTTGGTATTTGAGGCTTTTTGTTTTTTCAGCGGTATTTTTTTCTCCTCTTCAATAGCTTTTTCCTCTTTCGTTTGACACCAAATAGGTTTAGAAGCTTTGCAAGAATCATCATCGGTGGAAAATTTACGAACCATTCTTCGGATACTACTTTCGCTTCCAACTTCTGCTCCCGCTTGTACATGCTCCTCGTTATGTCTTGATGAAATAGATATGGGTAATTGTCTCGCGGTTGTATCACCAAAAAGTTTTCTGGCTCGAGTGATACCAGATTCATAATTATTGTCTATTTCCCCATCTAATTTCCTTGGTCCACTTAAGCTTCGCACAGGACTGTGCGATGCCTCTCGCTCAGTACGACCAAAAATTTTAATTCGATCACGAGCCGAACCAGCGGGAATTTCAGCTTCAATCTGTTTACGAGTTGGTATCGGTGACGAATAACATTCATCAGCTTTCCGTTTTGTGGGTATTTGAATTGTTATCGTTTCTGGTTCGCATTCCTCCTCAACATCACCATAATTTACGATGTCAACACTAACATTGATCAGTGGCAGCCGATTTGATGATGATTTTATAGGCGTTGAGCTATGGGAAGGATGTGATGTAGCGCTTATCCCGATACCAGCTTCCGGAACAACTGGTGCCGGTGAAGCAAAAAATAAGTCGTTCGATCGCTCAGGAGGAATATTTGAAAGAGAACTAAACCTTGAGTTACCAATACTGGACAGATCACTTAGACTTTGGCTGCCATAAACATCATCCTCATAATTTGAGGTAGAAGGTGATGATCGTCCTGGTGACCTTACGCCGGAATCATCATCATTGATTATCGCAGAACTTTTGTCATTTGTAACAGTTTTTCTCAATTTGACACCCTGCCGTATGGAACGTAATAACTCATCACGATCCACGGTAACTTTACCACCTAGTTTCATCAGTGCTGGTTTCGGAGATCGTGATCGTCGGATGGGTTCTGCGGATGGAATCAGAGGTGGTGGTGGTATAAGTAATGGAGGTGGCGGCGGTGCCATGGCAGGTTCCACTGGAGTATGTTGATCTGGTGATGTGTCACGGCTGACTGGAAACGGTGAACTACGATCGTTAATTTCCACTTTACGCAACTTAACACCACCACGTATTGATGCTAATAATGCATCGCGATCTATCGGCTGTTTACCGCCAAGTTTCAGAAGTGCTGGATTCGTGATCGGTTTCACGACTTTATTTTGCTGCACTGGGGATGATAAGAAATCCGGTGATGGTGACGGTGGAGGTAATACAGGCGGTGGCGGAATAGATGAAACGTCAAGATGAGTCGTTGAGTTTGATAATACAAATGTTTCTGGAACGGGAGATGCTGCACGGCTTAAATCATTACGGACAGTTCCGACACCAATAGGAGCACTTCGATCATTTGTTACAGCTTTTCGCAATTTCACACCACCATGAATTTCATTGAGCAATTTATCGCGGTCAAAATTAGCATTACCGCCAAGTTTCAGTAAGGCTGCAGGTGGAGGTGCTTTTGGAGGTGGTGGTGCTAATGGTACCGGCGGGACGTCCGTGTTCTCGCTGTTTTTTCCATAAGAAACTGGTTTCTTAGCATCCGGTCGATTATTATACCTAGAAGTAGAAGCAACAGAATCAGGTGGAGGCGAATAACCACCACTTCGTACACGTCCAACACCAGTTGGAGCGCTTTTATCGTTAGTAGAAGCATGCCTTAGTTGTACGCCGCACCGAACTTCATCCAAAAACTTGTCCCGATCAAATACAGGCTTCACCAATTGAGGGGCTGGCTTTGATTTCGGCTTTAAATTTTGTGGTACCTTGGGTGGTGGGGGTGCTATTGGTGGAGGAGGTGGTGCTCGCGGTTTCGATGTATCACGAGCCAGACTGTGCTGGCCCATCTGTACTGGTCGAGCTAGATACATCGCTGTTTACTGGAAAAATATGATTTATTCAAAAAATTTTTTATCGGGATACCAACTATCGAATTGTTCCCTTATTATCGTTCATTGATATCATCCACAAAACCATAACCAAATTCCTAAAATAAAACAAGTCACTAGTAGTATAAAATGAGATAATCAAGTAAATAAGAATGAGTCAAATAATACTCGGTTTACCCATCTTTTATACACAACTAAATCAGATCAGGAAATCATTAAATTAGAAAACTTTTACTGATATGCATACTTTTAACTTACTGTTGAATATTAGTAATCCTCCTACATCTCATTCCCTCTAATTTGAAATTACAATCAAAAAATTTTTAAAGAAACAAAAATCAATTGGACAAGCTTTTGATTTATTAAAAAAATCAAATATCACTTGTAAGTTCGAATAACACTTCGTGCTATATCGTAAATCAATAATAATTATTATTGCGCGTACATATCTTAACAGAATTTACTTTTTTGTCGTGAAAGGAAAAGATATAAACTCTCTCTCGTTTAACTGTCAATTTAACTAAATTGAAAAATATTCGAATTACAATGAGCAGCAAATTATTACCAGATTTAAGCATCTACAAAATTTTATTAACTAAAAATGTTGTATTTTGGAACTAAGAAGGTAATTTCTTTTTTTAATTCCTAATATAAAAAGTGAAGAAATGAAAAAGCTGATTAAAAGCATTAGATGAAGGGATGTCCTACTTGGTTAATTATCCATACAAAAGTAATAGCTCATTTCAGTGAGATGAATTTTCGGTAATTTCATTATTGGGTTGAAATCTGTGAAAAGTTATTCCAGCAATATTGAGCTATTAAAATCATTTCATAAGGATATGATTATTTAACTGTTCAGTAAAAATTATCCTTACGGAATAGATCAAAAAATACATGCAATAAAAGATTATCATATAAAAAAGAAATTTTAAAATTTAATTTTCAAATTATAAAAATTGAAACTATTGAAGAAAGAAAAAAAGTAAGATCACTTATAACCTTTATAATCGCATGACGCTCAATGAACTTCGCTGTACAATAATATTGCCCTTGACCTCACTATTCTTCTTCACTATTCTGATAGCTCCAGTCTGCTGCAATAATTAAATAACTTTTTTTCAAAAATTTATCAGTTCTTTTCTTTTTTTCCTCTTTCTCGCTATCATTTAATTTCGAGTTTTTCTACATAGGAAACAATGGGAAAAACATTTAAAGCATAAATAACATTTCATATAATATAATTGTAATTATGAAGAATGGAAGAAACGTATTAATTTCAGGTATATTTGATGGAGAATGAAGAAAAACGTATTAATTCCAGGTATATTTAATGAAGAATGAAAAAAAAAGTATTAATTCCATATACAATTAAAAAGCATCGAAACATCAGATTAATTACTCATTATTAGATGATATTACATTAGTCTGGGAACAAAAATCATTCGAACTGATAAGTTGTTATTTAAATCAATAAGTATTATCAGTTAATGCTAGATCTACTTGTAATTTCTCGGAATTTAATTAATAATTAAAATTGGAGCGGATAAATTGATAAATGATATATTTTACGTAATTATCGATAAATTCATTTTGTGAGTGAATTACATTAATCATATAAAAATACAGTACACTTCTCAAATCAATCACCCATTAAATCATTTTTTTCTCCATTAAAGCTGCTGTAGTATGCGTTAATGCTTAGTTTGCGATGTTAATATAGAAATTAAAATATGTAACCGTAAAATTTAAAATTCGTATTCATACAAAGAAAAGGTTACGATGAGGATTTCGTCATTCTTAGCAAATCAATCACAATATTTAAATTTCTGAATTAAATGTAAATTATGAAACAAATCTTTGATGATCATATCAAAATTTGCATAACTAATAAATCGTAACTAATAATTTTATATGAATTTTCACCATAATTATTGCATATGTTTCAACTTATTCATTATAATATGTAGAAATGATATAGCTTAGAATTTAGAAATGCTTATACCATATCCTACATACGAAACGATATTTGGGAAAAGAAGCAGAACAGCATACAAGTCAATAATATCCGATATATCAAATCATAAAATAGTTGTAAAATTGATTTAATTTCCGGATATATGAAAACTTAATCATCAGATTTAAGATGAAAATGAAGAAATAATGAACATTGATAGATAAAAATTTAGTTGTGACAGAGAATGAGTAAGTCATTTTCAACTGAAATTATAAGAAAAAAGCGATGGAATTTAAATATGAAATGGATGAATTGACATTGTTTAAAAAAAAAACAATTGTTTCAATTCATTTGAAACATAATTACTAAAATTGAAAAGTTGCGAATGAATTTTGACAAGTGGAAGAGCTTGTTAGAATGGGTATGTCTGAAAGTTCGAGGAAAAAAGTTTAAAACGGAACTTTCACGAATGACAATAATTAATTGTAAGAGCAAAGAAGTAATTTCGCATTATACATATAGTCTGATTTCAATTGTCAATCCCGAAAATTGATTCCAATAATTGGATTAATATTAAATCGAATAGTTAAATGAAAAATTTGACTGAAGTAATAATATTTAAATTTATTGAATGGTAAATTGCCTAGATTTCAACTAAATTAAATACTCTGAAAACTTTTACGATTAAATTTTCATATAAATTAAACTAATGGTAGTAATAGATTATTGAAATTTTTTGCAAGAAATAAAAATTTAGATGGGAATTTGAAAAATTTATAAGCCGTAAATAATTGATTTTAGCCGAATGAATGAAAAATTGGATAAACATAATTGTATTTGAAAAGATTTCGTTCGTATGATAGAAACGATTGATATACTTTATCTCATTATCATGTCATTAAATTGTCATAGTTTATTGCCACTTACAAATCAATCTTCAGAGTCAAAAGTTAAGGTTAATTACTAACTTCTTATCAATAAGAATTAATCAACAAAAAAAGAACAAAGTAAAATGTAAGATTATAAAATATCTGGGAGTAATAATATAAATGAAATAATTGAAAGGCAATAAATGATTTCGGAAAAGATAATTGGCATAATTATTCAAAATAATCGTTAATGTATTTGGAAAACAAAAAGCAAAAAACAAAAAAGAGAGAAGGAAACAAAAGTAAAAAGCTGCCACAAAATGAGAAATAATAATAACACTGTTAATCTTCGATAAATTAGAATTTTTATAAGAAAGAAATTCATTCCATAATATAAACAGAAACCATATCATATTATTCAAACAGCTTAAAATTTCCTCTATTTTCCTCAATTTAAAATTGAATGCAAAAGTTAGAAAGATAAAAATTGTACTTTATACTAGGCATTTTTTTAACAAACAGCAAACATATCTCACAATTTCATTAAAAACTTTCTTGAAATAATTAGTTGAAAAAGAAATGCTTATACATATTGAAAGCAAAAGTAGCATACGGCGGGACAGTTGTGGCATTGTAAATGTTTTGAAAAAATGTGAAAAGAAATTTTTGAAGATATTCAAAGTAATTGAAATTGAAATGTTGACTATGAAGTTTGTAAAGAAGTGATAAATCACTCTCGTTTATAAATAATTTATTTGCAAATTAATTTGTAAATAATTAATAATTTAGTTGAAACTTTTACAATGCAAAAAATTAGTCAATGTGAATAATAATGGATACTAATTTCTTACGATTATTTGAGATATTTTAAAATAAAATATTTCTAAGTGAATTTGCTAAAATTATCATTTCTTTTCAAACAATCCTTTTATGATTTTACTGAGTGGGATTTTCCAATAAAATTATGACTGAGTTTTCATAACAGTTTTTCTCAATCAGTAAAAAATTATTTCCCATCCCTATATTCCATCATAAATCACCACCTCTTTTAAGTGCCATTATCGCCTCATCTTCTAATAATTAATTGATATTTCAACGACCGTAATATATATTCGATGAAAATCAAAATTTTTTAAATCATTTCTTCAAACATATATGTTTACATCATTTGGAATGGACTGAAAAGGAGCAAAAATGTAAATTTTTGACCTTTCCATGAAAATAATAATATGAAATCATATGCTCTTCATCACTGATCTTTAAAATTCCACAAAATAATAAGCTATGTAAATGTCTTTCACTTTATCTTTCCTAAGGCTAAAATAAGGTGATAAAGTGAGTGAAAATTATCATTACAGAAACAACTGAATGAAAATTATTATCATATCAGTTCAAATTCATTATAGCTAATTATAATTAAGTAGCACTATTTCACCCAATTCAGAATATCAAAGGAAATGAATTTCTTTTTTAAGAAACAAACATGCATACAATTGCGGAATTTAAGCTTGCATAACGTTAAACACCACATTTCGGTGTAATCATTTCAGTATAGTGTTGAATACAATTGCACATATCAAAATAGCCAGAAGCTAGTTTGGAATTTCCGAGAAGTTTATTTGCCATAGCTATGGAATGTTATCAGCATCATTAAAACAATGATAGCAAAAAAAGAAAATGAGAAAAATGTTGTAAATCCAATGAACATTTGAAAAGAACCTATAGGAATCTAAAAAAAATACATCATAATTTTCAAAATTTTTACCACATAGAAAGATTATTGTTGGAAATATACAGGTGTTCCAAAATTGCACTATTTTAGAATTCAGAATGGTGTAAAGTTCGAAAACTTGAAATAATGGGAAGACACAAAATGTGTAAAAGGTAAAAGGTAAGTGGATTCGAAATGCAAATTATTCGTGACCTGCTTTTATGGAAAATCATTGTGAAAATACCAGATAGATGGATGAAACGGGAGTAGAAAGGACAAAAACGCTTGAAATAAGCGAACATATAGATCGATGAACAATTAGGCAAACAAAAGTTGAACTCTGTGAGCTAATTTTAACTTAGATAAAAAAAGAAACGAAAATGACTTAATGAATTTTGATAGAATATTGATAGGTTTGCAGGTAAATGGCCTCTTTTAACATCACTGA